GCACATGTTGGGCCTCCTCCGGGTGCCGTCAACCGGACAATGCCGGTTGGCGGCCTCCCGGGGGAGGGCCTTCTCTGTTGCTGCGCCAGCCCTGTGGAACGATCTCCCTGTAGAGATCCAGACCCTTACCACTCTCCCGGCCTTCCGTAAAGCCGTCAAGACCTGGCTGCTCCGGCACGCCTGGGGCTGTTGATTGATATCCAGCCCCGCTTAGATCGAATGGATGATGTGGCATTTTAATGTTGTATTTTCTAATTTTAAATTTTAAATGTTTCTTTGTCTTGTTGTGAGCCGCCCAGAGTCCCAATGGGAGTGGGCGGCATACAAATTTTATTAAATTCCAAATTCCAAAGAGGCAACGGGACTTTCTGGTTTTTCTTTGAAGATGTTTCACTTCTCATCCAAGAAGCTTCTTCAGCTCTGACAGGATGGTGGGGAATGGAAGGATTTAAACTTCTACTCAGGAGTATACTCCTTACTTCTTGGGTAAGGAGTATAAATCATTTTATTCCCCACCATCCAGTCAGAGCTGAAGAAGCTTCTTGGATGGGAAGCAAAACATCTTCAAAGAAAAACCAGAAAGTCCCGATGCCTCTTGAAAAAAGCATCTTTGGGACACCTCAAATATGGTTGAGTGGTGCTATGTAGGTAATATAAGTTAATAGTGGTGAAATACCTTGAACTAATCATGGCTCAGCATCTTTGCTTACCTCTGCTATGAAATTTTGAAGAAGGAATAGATTCCCAATTCCCACCTCTTGCTTCAGGTGCAATCCAGTAGAAACTGTGGTCTTTGTCCATAATGACTGTGACTTCTCTCCATCTGTAGAGCAGCTTCCTCTAAACCAGATGTGTCAGGTGTGTTGTTGATGTAGTTGAGTTTTGCACCTGAAGACCCACCAAAGCTGGAGTGGTATCTTTTGGCATATCTAAGTGCTAATGTGTTGAAACAACTCATTGGATGTGAGAATGCTTAAAGATGTTATGCATCTTGTCTAGGTATACGGTGTAACAGAACAAATTTGCAAGGCCTTCTTCTCATAGCATGTTGAGAAAAAGACAACTTCTAACAGAAATTTCTCAGCATTAGCAATGTTTTTAAAGAGAAATCCAGTTAAATTGGCTGGCAGAGCCTTTGCATAGCCTTGTGTGGGTATCTTTCTTGAGTCCCTGAGCTCAATCACTCAAGCCATGATCATGTCATGCTTGGACTTCTGCAATGCATTCTACATAGTTACCCTTAAAAAGTATTAAGAAGAAATCCTGAATGTGGCAGCGTGCGAAGTTCTTGGGGCCCTTAGGATGGCCCATATTACAACACTGTTCCCTTGAGCTGCACTGATTGCCCATTTGTTTCTGGGTACAACTTAAGATGTTTGTTACCACCTTTAAAGCCTTCATGGCATGGACCCATACAATCTGAGGAACTGTCTCACCCCAATAGGATTGCCCCTCCCACAACCCGTGCTGGCAGATGGGTATGCTGTGGACCCTGTCGGTCAAGGAATTTGGGTTGGCAGGGTCCAAGAGAAGAGCCTTTTCTACTGTGGTTCCTGCCCTTTGGAACATTGAGGTGAGATCCGCATCCTTCCTTTTGACCTTCTATAAGGGCCTGAAGACTTGGTTCTGCCAGTTGGCTTGGGGTTCCAACGGGGGTGCATTATGCTGGAGGGGACAGATTGATGGATTAAGATGCATTCTGTTCCTTTCCTCCCCATCTTTTAATTGTTAAGTTTTACAATTATGATTATTTATTGCTTCAAGGTTTTGTTGGCTTTTAATGTTTACAAGCCAACCAGAGTTGTGTCTTGGTGAGACGAGCAGCAAAGGAGAAAAAAAACAAACAGGCACAAAGTTGTCTATAGGACAGTGTTTCTCAACCTTGGCAACTTGAAGATGTCCGGACTTCAACTCCCAGAATTCCCCAGCCAGCATTCGCTGGCTGGGGAAT